TGATGGTCTTGGAGGTGTTGCTGCCGACCCGCACATTTTGTGGCCTCCCTGTTAGAAAGTCCAGCACCCAGTTGCAGAGAGACATTTTGCGTCCCAAGTGTCCAAGTTTTTGTGTAAACTGCTGGGAAATGATTGTGTTGAATGCTGAACTGAAGGGGTGGTCTTCTGTTGTTCTGTCTTTCAAAGCAGCCAAAGAAATCACTGAGGCTGTTCAGCAGAGTGATGTCATTATCATAGTTCCAAAGTGGGGGTCTATAGCCTGTGAGGGTTTGGATACCCTGCCAGAGACTCTGTGCATCTCTAGTGTTGCTGAAGTGTTCAGATATTTTCTTGTTGTATTGACGCTGCGTCCGTTCGTGCTGCCGCCATTACTAATATCTGAGAACACCAATATTCAGTATATAGTACATGCAGCTTTAAGATGTGTTTTTAAATGTCTGTGTGCAGGTCTCTGGTAAGCTGTTTGATAAGGAGCGGACGCTGGAGGAGGAGATCCAGCTGAGAGAGAGGCTACAGCTGCAGTGCAAGCAGGCGGAGAGGACAGTGGACGACCTCCAGATGGAGCTGCAGACCACAATCCAGGCCAGGGATGACCTGGCCAAACAACTCAAACAGGCTCAGGTACTGAGTGATCGATCCAAAGTTTCAGTGGCAGGCCAAAAAATATTTACCAATTATAGTAAAAAAAATTTAAAACATAGGAATAGGGCTGGGCTAAAGAAGCTGACCATGTATTTGCTACATTTCTTTTCTGAATCTAGGCGGGGAGGTGGGGGGGTTGTTCTATACCATCTTTCATGTTTTCCACCCCATTTCGCTGTTTTTGAGACAAAAATGCATGAGGAAAAGACAAAAAAAAAACAGACATTTCAGAATAATTATCTACCTAAACATTCCAAGCAGAATTAAAGATTAAAATTTTACAAAGTGCTTTACATAGAAGCTTTTATTATAATAGATAGTGGTGTGGAGAGAGTGATGGTTTAAATGCTGCTTCTGGTTTTCCACTACATCTATGTGGCAGACACTTCTGTTATATATAACTGGAATCAGATTTAAAGGATAAAATCGGTGATTACATTTCTGTTACTGTTAACAAATCCAGATTTGCTCCAGATGTTTTTTTTCCCAATTCCTGAATATTTTTTTCCTGAAGGTCAGCTCTATTTCCAGCTGGTCACACCGTATCCCTGACATGTTTACATACATGACCTACTAATGATTTAAACAACATAGATGTCCACTTGAATTAAGCAATCATGCAAACCATCAGCGTTTGGGGTTAATGGGGCATTAATTGTGCAAATCCTGTTTAGCAGTCGGCTTGCTAATTCCACAGTCCCAAATATTCATCATGTTGCTATTTTGGAAGATACAATACTTAATCTGTCCCATTTCTAAATAACCTGACTGACAAGCAGTTGTCATCATGAAGAGTGAACTCAGAGCAGAAGCCGACAGTTTAGGTTAGCTGTTTGAGTAATTATTTTTATTTGTAACTCTGTCTCTTTCAGGAGAAAATGATCGATCTGGAGACTGATCTGGAGGAGCTACACGAAAGCGAACAGAGATGGGCCGCCAAACACAAGAGAGCTATCGAACAGGTAAACCCACTGATAACGGTACTAGTGTAAAAATATTCTGATTAATTTATCTTATGTTATGTACATTCTCAATAATTTATGGCTGTTTCCTGTCAGAATGAGCAGCTGCAGATGAAGGTGATTCAGGAGAAAGATCTGAATGAGCAGCTGGAAACTGAGAAGGCTTCCATGGACAGACAGGTACTTGTGTGTGTTGGCAGAAAGATATGTACAGGCATCTTATTTATTTTAAATGGGTTTATTATAAGATCAACATACAGTATTTGGAACACTCAGACTGATCAGGGTTGGACAATCAGAATGCACAAAGACTAAAGACTCCTTTTTAGCTTTTCTGACTTCTCTGACATTTACCATTACAGTCACACCTCTCTAAGTTGATTGGCCCATTTGAATACCATAGGCTCTTAGCTTTCTGTGAGACAGTACATGTACAGTAAGTCTGCAACTACTTATTTCTGAACAAAAGAAATGCGAATGTGTTTTAACTTCTCGCTTTCTCCTCTCGTCTGCACTGTAGTTGCGTGAGCTGCGTCTGCAGGTGGATGAGCTTCAGAGCTCCAGAGTTCCGGATGACGTCATCTCCAGGGTAGAGAGCAGAGCCAAAGAGCTGGAGAATGCTCTGAGGACTGAGGAGAGGTCAGTCACATGACTTTTTACCATCATTACAAAGTACTGTATTTTACATCTGTAGCTTGGTTCAATTAGCCCAGACAATAGTGTATTGTTGAATTTGCAGTCTGCTTTGGTTTGGGTTCACACTGACTTTTTACAAACAAACCAAGAGGAGTAAACATGGCATGATGTCATTTGGGTTTACAAGCAACATATTTATTGCGTGATTTTGATGATGTCATCCAACATCATCAGCACTACAGTGACCAGCAGGGGAGGGATATCAAATTCCAGTGCTTGATTATGAGCAACCTGACCACATGTCAAACAGTGGAAAAACAGGTAGTTGGGTTTTTCCTCTATAATACTGTAAGGTCTCAACGTTACTATGTAAAGTGTGTTGAGATGATTTTTGTTGTGATTGGCTGCTATGTACATAAATAAAATAGAGCCGAACTGAATCAAAAACTGAATATGTTTTGTGCAGGAACAAAGTTGTTCTGACAAACACCATCAGTAAACTGGAGAGGAGGATCAACGAGCTGAGTGATCAGATGGACGAGGAGCACAGGATAGCTACTGAACAGAAAGACCTGGTAATACACACACACACACACACACACACACACACACACTCCCCACCTGAGGAAACTAGAGCAGTACAAAACAGTTTGATCATGTACTTAGACTTGTCATTAAGGGCTTTGTACGTATGTTAGGAGAAGGATTTTAAAATCTATTTTGGATTTTACAGGGAGCCAGTGGAGAGAAGCTAATATGGGAGAGAGATGATCTCTCTTGCTAGTTCCTGTCAGTACTCTGACTCTGGCAGCAGCATTTTGGATTAACTGGAGGCTTTTTAGGAAATTACTGGGACCTCCTAATAGTAAAGAGTTACAGTAGTCCAGCCTGGAAGTAACAAATGCATGGACCAGTTTTTCCATCATTACTTTGAGACAGGATGTTCCTGATTTTGGCAATATTGCACAGGTGAAAGAAAGCAGTTCTAGAGCATTGGGTTTTGTGTGATTTAAAGGACATATGGTCAAAAATGACTCAAAGGTTTCTCTCAATAGTACTGGAGGCCAGAGCTGTGTCATCTAGACTAACTATATAGTTAGTTAGCATAGTTTTAAAGTCTTCGGGCCCAAGTACAATAACTTCTTTTTTGTTAATTTAGAAGTAAGAAATTACAGGTCATCCAGACTTTTGTCTTTAAGACATGCTAGAAGTTTGACCAATTGATCTGATTCAAAGATAAATATAACTATCCTCTGCGTAGCAATAGAAATTTATGCCATGTTTCCTGATAATATTGCCTAAAGAGAGCATGCATAAAGTGAAGAGAATTGGACCTAACAGAGCCCTGTGGAACGCCGTGACTAACTTAAGTCTGCAGAAGATTCATCATTAAAATGAACAAACTGTAATCTATCTGATAAGATTTGAACCAAGTTGGTGCAGTTCCTGTTTCTAGTTTTTGTAATAAGATGTGATCAGTGGCGTCAAAAGCAGCACTGAGATCTAAGAGGACAAGTATGGAGACCTGTCCTTTATCTGAGGCTAGGAGAAGATCATTGGTGACTTTTACCAGTGCAGTTTCTGGACTATGATGGACTCTAAAACCAAACTGAAAGTCCTCTGATCATTCTCATGCAGGCGGTGACATAACTGCTTTGCAACAGCTTTTAAGGATTTTAGAAATAAAGGGAAGATTGGATATTGGTCTATAATTAGCCAGAATACCTGGGTCAAGAGTAGGCTTTTTGAGAAGAGGTTTGATTACAGCAACTTTCAAAGCTTGAGGAACATAGTCTGTTAATAGAGAGAGGTTGATCTAATATGGACGTATTGATTTGGGGCAAGACATCTTTGAGCAACCTGGTTGGGATGGGGTACAGGAGACATGTTGATGATTTAGATGAAGCAGTTGTTGAGGTCAACTCTGAGAGATCTATGGAAGAGAAGCTTTCTAAATGTAATCGAGGTGTTACAAATGTTTCTAAAGTTATTGTACTTGATGAAATGTCTGAGAGCTGTGGGAAGGATCGGATGAATTTTTTTTTCTCAAATAGTTGTGATTTTATTTGTAAAGAAGATCATGAAGTCATTGCTGCTGAGATCTAAGCGGATATTAAGCTCAACAGCACTTTGTCAGCCTGGCTACAGGGCTGAAAAGAAACCTGGGGTTGTTCTTATTTTTCTTCAGTGATGAATAACATGCAGTTCTGGCACTATGAAGGTTTTTTAAACACATTATTAAACTATTTTTCCAGGCTAGGGGAAAAACTGCCTTAGTGGAGCGCCACCTCCTTTCCAGTTTTCGTGATGCCTCCTTTAGGGAGTGGAACTGCGAGCTGTACCATGGGGCTAGCCTCCTCCTTTTTCAGAGGGGCAACAGTATCAAGTGTCGTACGCAGGAAGGCTGCAGTACTATCAACAAGATTATCGACTTGTGTGGGAGTAAAGTTAAGGCGGCCTCCTTCCACTGTGTTGACAAACAGCACTGAAGTAGATAATGATGGTTTCCTTAAATTTGGTAACAGCATTGTCAGATAGACATCTATTGTAGTGGAATTGTTTCCCACATAGAGTATAATCCATTAATGGAAATTCAAAAGTTATTAGAAAATGGTCAGACAGAAGAGGGTTATGGGGAAAAACTTAAGTGTTCAGTTTTGATGCCATATGATTAAAATAGTGAGTGGGTTTATTTACAGTTTGAGAGAAGCCAACTGAGTCTAATAATGAACAGAATGCATTGTTGAGGCTGTCATTGTCGGCATCTACATGAATATTAAAGTCGCCTACTATGATTATTTTATCTGTACTAAGCACTAAATCAGACAGAAAGTCTGAGAATTCACTTAAAAACTCTGAATAAGGAGCAGGTGGACGGTATACAATAACAAACAGAACAGGCTTTTGAGTTTTCCAGTTTGGGTGTGAGAGACTCAGGGTGAGACTTTCAAATGAGTTATAAATATATTTAGGTCTAGGGTCGATTAATAGGCTTGATTTGAAGATCGCTGCCACACCTCCACCTCGGCCTGTGCTTTGAGGGATGTGACAGTTAATATGACTGGGTGGGGTGGATTCATTTAGACTGACATATTCTTCCTGCTGTAGATAAGTAGATAACATCTCTGCACTCACCAAGTCTGGGTCACAGGAAGCTTTGCCAGCACGTCTCCACATTGTATGTTTCTTAGCATATTTGAATAAAGTTACACAATGTAGCTTTAAACATAGCACAAGAAATAATCCTTCACCAAAATAAATAAATAAATCCTCTGTGTGCACACAATATAGAAAGGCTGAACTCAACATGAGCACCAACTTCACGAATTATAGGCCGGTTTCTCTGTTCAATAACAGATTAGATACATTTATTGATAAACATAAAATACTCTCTGATTGTCAGCATGGGATTTGGATACAAAAAGATTTCCCAAGCTTTAAACATCCCAAGGAGCACTGTGCAAGCGATAATATTGAAATGGAAGGAGTATCAGACCACTGCAAATCTACCAAGACCTGGCCGTCCCTCTAAACTTTCAGCTCATACAAGGAGAAGACTGATCAGAGATGCAGCCAAGAGGCCCATGATCACTCTGGATGAACTGCAGAGATCTACAGCTGAGGTGGGAGACTCTGTCCATAGGACAACAATCAGTCGTATACTGCACAAATCTGGCCTTTATGGAAGAGTGGCAAGAAGAAAGCCATTTCTTAAAGATATCCATAAAAAGTGTCGTTTAAAGTTTGCCACAAGCCACCTGGGAGACACACCAAACATGTGGAAGAAGGTGCTCTGGTCAGATGAAACCAAAATCGAACTTTTTGGCAACAATGCAAAACGTTATGTTTGGCGTAAAAGCAACACAGCTCATCACCCTGAACACACCATCCCCACTGTCAAACATGGTGGTGGCAGCATCATGTTTTGGGCCTGCTTTTCTTCAGCAGGGACCGGGAAGATGGTTAAAATTGATGGGAAGATGGATGGAGCCAAATACAGGACCATTCTGGAAGGAAACCTGATGGAGTCTGCAAAAGACCTGAGACTGGGACGGAGCTTTGTCTTCCAACAAGACAATGATCCAAAACATAAAGCAAAATCTACAATGGAATGGTTCACAAATAAACATATCCAGGTGTTAGAATGGCCAAGTCAAAGTCCAGACCTGAATCCAATCGAGAATCTGTGGAAAGAACTGACAACTGCTGTTCACAAACGCTCTCCATCCAACCTCACTGAGCTCGAGCTGTTTTGCAAGGAGGCATGGGCAAAAATTTCAGTCTCTCGATGTGCAAAACTGATAGAGACATACCCCAAGTGACTTACAGCTGTAATCGCAGCAAAAGGTGGCGCTACAACGTATTAACTTAAGGGGGTTGAATAATTTTGCACGCCCAATTTTTCAGTTTTTTTATTTGTTAAAAAAGTTTGAAATATCCAATAAATTTCGTTCCACTTCATGATTGTGTCCCACTTGTTGTTGATTCTTCACAAAAAATTACAGTTTTATATCTTTATGTTTGAAGCCTGAAATGTGGCAAAAGGTCGCAAAGTTCAAGGGGGCCGAATACTTTCGCAAGGCACTGTATGTCTGGAATTATGTGTGATTACATACTGATTGTTGTTACATGTTTGAAAGAATAAATAAATAAATCAAATCAAATCAAGTGACTCCCAATAATCAGAGAAGTGAAACTGCCAAAAAGGCAGCAGGTCCAAAAAACATATACTGAGGTCTGCAATCCAAAAGTCAAGCCCGACAAAAACTGCCCAAGTGAATCACAGGATATCAGAGAACAGACTTACAAATCAGAGGGGCAAACATGTGAGAAGCAGAATGCAGGTCAGGAAATGGGCAGGCTTCAGGAATGGCTGGAGAGCTCTGCTCACAGCAAGAGACTGACAACTGACAGAGCACACAATGAGCCACTGGTGATAATGAGCAACATAAAGCTAAGGCAGGAAATCCTAAGGAAATAAAAGTCCAGAATGCGAAGTCAGGGACTGATCATAGTTTCTTTAACTGTTACCCCTTTTAGGGCATTTGTTTCCCCAACATTGTGGTTTAACAAGTCTTTTTTTTCCACTTTTTCAGTTATTTTCTCTACTTGATTCTTTGTTATAAGAAACAGCACAAAGAGGTTGATACATTTTTAGACACATCGAATCTCGGTGCCGGCGGTCCATGTGTCGAAGTGTTCTTGGGCAAGACACTGAACAAC